CCTGTTGGCTAGGGATAAGAGAATATCACTAAAGTGAGATTGTCCTTTCTAGCTCCCACCTAGCACTACGTCAAAAGAAGCTAACTAGCATGAAATTGCAACGCTTGTGTGCAGCAATCCCATACCGTCAGCGGTGATCGATGTCACATGATCAAAACCGAACACTGGTGCTTGCAACCGATTCTCAATCAGTGCGTTGAAGGAATACAGCATAGACATTCTGTGTAATCACCGAATGCTCAGCAGGTTTAACCTTACGAGCATTGGCATTATCATCAGTGTAGAAAGCATCTTGGATCGCACCAGTAGATGACATCAAAACTGTGCGGTAGTGGCCGTTGCTCGGGGTTGGACCGTGATGAACAACGCATGCACGAATCTGGTACTTGAGGAAATACACATCTCTTAAGTTTTCGCGAAAAACAGGTAAGTAGAGCTTGAAATCGGTTTTGGAGTATGTGCCATCTGGTTTGACATCAAATCGACCAACCTGTGCAACACAAAACTCCGGCGGCTCAGTGAGAGCCCGAGGTTCAGCCTGTTCATGCCAGTCTTGAAGAGTGCATGTCATACAAGGGATCATCAGCAGACGAGGCTGGCCTAGCAGCCAGAAGGAGTGGCCACGTGGATCCCGAATCCACCACCTCAAGTCTGTCACGGTGGAGCGCGGACCCCGCTGCTCCCCATTTTCCATTAATGACCCCCGGATTGAGAGTGCGACTCAAGAATGTTAGAAACTCAATCACATCATGTTGTCGCCTGGGTTGTGTGCAACCTCTTGTTGCTGATACCCATGACATAATGGACCATAAATCTGTTGGGGTTCCCGCCTGCATCAAAGATCGCAATGAGTTGCCCGCTGGACCTTGCAAAATGTTGGTGTTGGAGTACCCCTCGAGCCAAAGCAAGCATAAGGTCAGAGCATTGGCATAACAAGAGTTGCAACCTTGGTTACGAAGTTTCCATGCCTTGGCCTTGGCGTGCCACTGCGAAGAAGTGAGCCCTCTGAGGTGAGGACTCGAGGGTGTCAGTAGCGATTGCGACGGTCGCTCAGGTTGCGAAGCTGCTTGGCCAACGGCTGGGGTTCCAACCTTTCCCTGCGCAATGTTGCATCGATCATCTGAAGACATCCCAGACCGCATAGGGCAAGGAGACGCTGGAACAACAACTGGGCCTTCTGCCCCTGAAGTGACACTCGGATGAAAAACATGACTGTGCTGTCTGTCTGATCGTTGAAGCGTCGGGTGGCATTGAATTGATGCAACACTTTGTCTTCTTCGAGAATCTCCAGAATGCTGTCCAGGTGACCGCTCAAGGCTGCATGTGGAAACATTCTTTGTGGCTCCTCGGGGATGAGCTGCTCTCGCTCCTGGCTCCACCTGAGATGAAGCCATTGGCTGTCCGTAGGGTGATGCCATCCTAGTTTCCGAACGTGGGCCAACAAGTCCGGCGTCTCCTCCATCTTGGCAAGGCGGTCTTTCAACGTCCTGAACACAGTCAACATCATCGTCTGCTTCAGGGTTAGGTTCATCCTTGGTTCTTTCGTTTTCTTGTTCGCATACTCCGCGCTCGCTGCAACCAATGTCCGAATGATCCCTCTCGTCCCTGCACCTAGGTGAAGGACGAACCCTGAATCGACACGCAGATGCATGATCTCGAGCTCGTGGCGATGTAGAAGTCGGGACATCTGATCTACCTGCTGCTGAAGTTCCTGTACCTGGTGGTTCGAATACCCCGATCTCCATGGTGCCGACGGCTGCTGCCAATCCTGAGTCATGTAGCCTATGTTGGATCCGAAGCCCTCGAACCCCTGATCCTAGGTCGAACTCCTCGCCCCCAAAGGCTGGAAGCCTCTGTAGCGACCCCGCATCTGATGGCCTCGGTCGTCGTGTTTCCCCCGGCCTTTGCCCTTCGGCTGCTGTGCTGGCCTCTCCTCGAGAGGGCCCGGGCTGCTCCTCTTGTTGGCTCCCTGAAAGGCATCCGTGAACACCTCCTCGAATTCCATCAACGGAGTTTCGGTCATCATGTGTCGTCTGAGGCTTGCCTATAAGAAGTGTTTCCAACAATCGAGCAGCGAACAGCACTGTGCAAGATTCCCTGTGTCTTATTTTAGCACCTTCCACTCCCTACTACAGAGCTGGCACGGTGATGTGATGTCGGCGGTGTCAGCCCGGCACTCAGCAATGACTTGTTTGATGATGTTAGCAAGGTCCTTGTGTTTTTGGTTCATGTGTTTCTTGACCTGCGCATTGGCAACCCACAAATGACACAATGGACAGTGCTCCAGGGCTGTTTGTTTGAAGCCCGGTGACCTCGCTAACTCTCGCCATCCGCCCTGCTTGAGGGAATGGAGTGTTGCCGGGCGGTCACGCAAAGGCACACAGTTGACATCTGCTTCAAAGGGAAGTGCGGGCTGCGGCACGGGCGCTTTTGCTGGCTGCGTAACGCTGTGGAGCTTCGGGCACACCTGGGCGACGATGTGGTTCCGGAGCTGGGGGACACCTGTAAAGGACCTCATACAATGTTTGCACGTGGGCATGCCTGCGAATGCGTGATCTTCGAAACGAAAGTCCTCAACAGATTCAAACGCCATCTGACGCACAGACAGCCCGTGCTTAACATTCATGTGATACCTAAGAGCTGAGGTGTTTTCAGTGGAAGGATCGGGCGCGCCCAGCTGAGCATCAGTCGAAGGTGGGTGAGGTGGTGGGGCGGGATCACTTGGTTGCTCGGCACCCTCATTTGTGTCCATATGGTCTGAGGCATGAGTGGTATTGGCAAGCGGAGTGCAAGTAAGCCGTTCTGGGCTCATCGCTACGGCCGGTGTTTCCTCGACCACTGGAAGAACCTGAGGAATTTCCAGGACAATGGGGGGGGCGACTGGGGCAGTGGTGGCTTCCAACATTGAGGCAGTCGCTGGCAAAGGATGCGAATCGCTTGCTATCACCTGTGCCGGCTCAGCATGTGCTGTCCCATTCTCCTGCGGAGTGGGGCACGAGTCCTGGCCTTGGGCAGTCGGTCGAATGGAAGCCAAGACCTGATTCCAGAGTTCGGTGATTGCAGGCGGCTGCACTTTAAAGACCTCTTGTGTCGCTGTAATGCGATGTCGCTCGGCTGTCTGCGACACCAGAGTGTACAATGGGCAATCCACTCCCGCCCGGACGAGGAGAGCCTCGTTGCTTTCCCTAGTGAGATGAACCGGACTCTCACAGATCGCACGAAGGTGACGCATGAATAAGGCACGGTACTTCTGCATACCTTGGACGTCAAAACCTGTACAAGTGATGCCGTACCTCAGAGTGCTGTGCACAACTGCATGCCAGAGCCGAATTTTGCCACGTAGGGAAAGCTTACTCGTTTTCTTGAGGGCAACATTAAGTCGTGCGAAGCTTGCTTGGGCACATTTAATTCTGTAGTTGACTGTGTCCCTGGCCATGTGGTGATACGACAGCTGCACCCCTAAGTACTTGTGTGATGTTTTGATGGGAAGAAGCACCTTGCCCGAGCGGGTAGGCACCTTAAGGCACAGATTCTTGTCAGGGTGGTGCTCCGTGCATTTGTTCCACGCCCTGGCGTGCTGATAGCCGACAAACTTGACTAGCACGACTGTTTTATCAAGGTTTGCCTGTAAATCGTGTTGTTGCAGAAAGTCAAGCAAGAATCCAATTTGTTTGATTACCCGGTGGACCTGCTCAACATCATTGACCTCCCATTGACACAAAGTGTCGTCTGCAAAAAGAGTCAGCAGGTAATGCAAATCGCTTTCTGAGAGCACAGGCATAAGTTTGGACATCAGCCATCCCGTAAAACAGCTCCACAAGATGGGCGCCAATCGGCAACCTTGCCTAACGCCTTTGCCTGTGGCTGTTCGCGCGCTGTGGCCAGAGGCCGAATACTGCAGCGTCATCGCGTGGCGCATGCCCAAAATTACATCTGCCACCGCCCCCGGTATCCCTGCCCATTCCAACGAGGATCGTATATGACCGCGGCCTATGGCTCAAGGTAATACTGCCTAGGAGAGCATGATGTTTGACTCCTGCGCGTGTGTGGTGCAGAGTATATTGGCGCCCCGTCCGATGCTGAGTCTGCCACATATGAAGCATTGCACGATCAATCGCGTCCATGGTGGACCGGCCTGTCAGATAAGCGAACTGTGGGAAGGGGGCCACAGCTTTGGTGACGTCAGCCCGAATTCGACCCATTAACATGCCAGCGAATGACTTGCCAAGGGGATTTAGGAGTGAAATGGGTCGCATTTTGTTTACTTCATCTAGCTGCTGGTCGGTTTTGGGCAGTAGACAAAGATACGACACACTCCAGTCTGCTGGCCATTGTGCTGCGAATGGCCCTGGTTGAAGACAACCTCCTAGGCACTGTGTTGTTGCTGCGCCGACCTCCTCGCAGCACCATTTCCACAAAGGCGCGGGGGCACAATGTGCCGGGAGAGCCTTGTGCACCGGAAGCTCGTGCAAGCATTGCGTGAACTCTTTGGCCGTAAAAGAAAAGGCCTCTCTCAGTGTGAAGCCCTCGATGGCCTGTTGGGCCGCGAAGACATCAGCAAAGTGCTTTATCACCAGTGCGGCTTCCTTGTCGGGACCCGCTAGCTTGTGCTCATCATCGCGCAGTTGCATACGCCTTCTGCGAATTTTTGGAGCAATGCGCCGCAGGACCTGATACAACATACCAGGATTCTGGGAGCTACCGGCCGACTCAGCATCCTGCAATTGTTGTTGGAGCCGAGCTCGCTTGGCAACCACTGCCTGGGCGTGCAGCTTTTTGCGAATGGAGCGGTATTGCACCGCACGCCGCCATCGTGCAAAAACTGTGTGTGCTGTGGAGGCCATTTTCCGATGGTGCCACAGTGCAGCGAGGCAGACCCCTTTGTGTTTATGCACTGTCCGAGGCTGGGACCCGAAAACGATTTGCCAGGAGGACAGCAGGATGTCGTTGATGCGGTCCACGTCTTGAACAGCCTGAAGCCGGTATTGAACCAGCTCTTTGAAGGCCTGCCCTTGCTGAGGCGACTGCTGTAGCATGATCGTAGCAACGTCCGGCCTCAATCGTGCCGCTGTGGGCTTTGTTCGGGGCGCTCTAATGCGGGGCACAGAAGCTGTTAGGGGCATGTGGTACAGACCGTCAACTGGGAGGAGGGGGAAGCTCCTAAAGGGTCTGGCGCAACGACTTTGATTGTCAGACTGTGTGCGCCTTGCCAGTATGAAGTCAATTTGAGTGTACGCTTTCGTGGCGGTGTTTCGAAAGGTGCCGCTGTGTGTGCCTGATTGGGAAAAGGTGTTTAGGGCCTGAAGATCACAGCATTGCAGCAAATGGTGAAAGACATCCATGTCAGGTGCAGCATGTTTGGGGTCTGACAAATGCGCTCTCTGATGTTGTCTAACATTGCTGCGAACACCTTGGCCTACGAAGGGAAGTTTGGTGTCCAGCTGGGTATTAAAATCACCCGTAACAAGCAACTGGGATCGGATAGCAGTGGATTCTGCAAACTGTTGAATTCTGCGCCATATGTTGAGCCGCTTCGCAAGGAGGCTCTCTTTTGCAGCAGAACTGGCCTCACCACGCCAGGCATGTTGGTACACTGCCAGCAGCTCGATTGATGGCTCAGTGGGGATTTTCACGTGCAGAATTCTGCCGAGCTGGATTTCATTATATCGAATTCTGTCTGATGGGCAAAGCGATTTAGAAATCATGATAAGTATTCCCCCCTCCTTAGGCTTGCCACTTCCCGTGTGTATGCAAGTGTAGTGTTCATCGGTCCATTCCGAGCTGCTTTTCCACATCGTTTCTTGAAGAATGACAAGATGGGGACGGGTGTGTTCCGGCTGTGCATGCAGCCACTGTTTCATTTCTTCGAATCTGAGTGTTGTCAATCCGCTGCAGTTCCA